TTGACGATCATATCATACATATTATGACACTGAAGCTTTAAAAACTGCTCCCCTTTCGATGACCAGATCATACATAGACACTGCAATGGTTACACCACTTCCTTGTTGATGACAACTTGTTGACAAACGCATGATGCTTTGAAATCGCATCTTTTGAACTGCTTCCTTTGAGAGAAAGGCAGAAAGTAGAAGGTGGGTTTTGAGCCAAACCTTGCAAAGAAAAAAACCTGGAAAAGATAGAAAAGAGGAATGTAATATCAGGGAAGCATATACACATATACTGTTAGTTTAAACAAAGTTTCATTTGATCAGCAGGATCCCTCATCCAGTCTTAACCTGAAAAGCAAAGCAGGTCTCAGTATATGCCTAGGCATGTTGATGGGACAAATAGATTACCAACTTAAAAAAACCAACCTAAGTTGATCAGGAGTTTGTTTCCTGAAAATCAAACACTGCATCTGTATAACCTGTTGATCACACACTCAAGAGGAAAACAAAATACAATGCTTAGTACGATATAAGAACAATAACTATAAGTTTTGAGGTTTAAGGTTTGAATCCATAACGACGTTGGCCTAGCTGTGTTTCATTTTCTGCTCACCTGACAAAGTGATGTGCAATTTTTTTGAGAGATAACTAATTGTGGACCGACATAACAGACAATTAACTCTTGTAGCCCCTCTCAAGGTAAGCTCTGGAAGCTTCAGTCGCCATTATTGTGTTCTGTAAGTGCTATTTTCATCAATGTTAAGTTATGAAGGACATACTCTACAAACTGACTATAGCTGTTTGTATGTCTTTGACTTTGAATATCAAATGTGCCGAAAAAAAGAGGAAATACTTAATCCCCGCTTGAATACAGACACAGTCCTTTGGTGGTTACAGCCGACACCTGAAATGGGTCTGGCCTCCGGGTTTGAGACCTATTTAACGGCTTATTGCTCGTATCAAACAAAAAGGAAGCAAAAAATGAAAAACATAAAAACAAAAGTGATACGAGCTTACGCCGAGGTACCAGAGGGTGAGACCGAAGTATGGGCAATCTGCACTGCACCTCTCCTCGGGATGCGAAAACAAACAAGCACTGAGTGGAGCGCACGAAACTCTCCACCCAGCTGGGATCGCCGTATTTGGGCTGACTGCGTAAGGTTCGAATCCTCACGAGGGACTCAGATTATAATGTTTTTTGTTTTACTATCTTATTTACGTACGGTACCATTTACTTTCTGATATCCAACTTGCTCCTTAGGAGGGAAATGTCTTCTACTCAAACACCATCCTAGAGCTTAGAAAGAAGATATCTTGATGTAAATGACCTGCGCTGATACACGTCTACATAATATTCAAATCTCATACACTCATTCTTTTGTAAATGCTAAACATGATAAATGTAGAACTTAAAAGGGTTCTGACTCTAATCTTTCTTATTTTCAAAAAATTTACTTTTCATGATTATTGCTAAAATATACTTGCAGCTCTCCACCAGTTTAATACAAAATTTTAGTTGTATTTAATATCTTTACCTTAAGATAATGTATTTAATAACTTGAAAAGCTCAATTGTACTTCATGACCTCTCGATATCTCTGATTTAATCCTTACCTGAACAGCTAAGCAGCTCTCATTATATGTCAAGCTCTTCGGAATGGAATGAACCCCGTTGATCACACACTCAAGAAGAAAACAAAATACAATGCTTAATATCATACGAGAAAATAACTTATCGAGTTTTGTATACTTCAGCGGGTAGAGTATGTGACAGCAACGTCGGTAGATCTGAGGTTTGAATCCTCATAAAAGTCGACTAGAAATTGTTATTTGACACGTTTAAGGTGCAATCTCTTACAAAGGTCGACCTATATTTTTTTCTCTCAGCTCAGATGGTAGAGCAGATGATACCGATATTGCAAAGCCTGAGGTTTGAATCCTCGTTTACTTTAACCCAGAAGTATATCTTCCTACTCTACTCTAAGAATGTCATAAAGGGATATTAAATAGAATGAGGTTTGAATCCTCACGGATATCTACCCAAATTTCTTCTTCTGCCCGGCTGGTAGAGCAGATGGTGAAGTTTTAAGATCAAAGGTTTGAATCGTTACTGTCAATGACCCAGTGTTGTTCTTTTTTTCTAACGATCGAGGTTTGCATACATTAGCAGGTAGAGTATTTGACAGCAAAATTAGTAGATCTGAGGTTTGAATCCTCATGAAAGTCGACCAAAAACTTTTATTTTAAAAGTTTAGCGTGTAATTTCTTACAAAGGTCGACCTATAGTTATTTTCTCAGCTCAGATGGTAGAGCATTTAATACCGATTTTGCAAAGTCTGAGGTTTGAATCCTCACGTATCTTTACCCAGAAGTATTTCTTTCTACTACGCTTTAAGCGACGTTGAATGGAATGAGGTTTGAATCCTCACAGAGGTCCGCCCAAATTCCTTCCAAATTCCTTCCTTCCTTCCAACTTCTGCTTAGCAATCAAAGCAGATTGCGAAGTTTTAAGGTCTAAGGTTTGAATCCTTATGGTCAATAACCCAGCCTTTCTTTTTTCTTAACGACCAAGGTTGAATACGTCAGCTTGTAGAGTATCTGACAGTAAAATCGGTAGATCGAGGTTTGAATCCTCATGAAGGTCAACTAGAAACTTTCATTTCACACGTTTAACGTGTAATTTCTTACAAATGTCGACCCTCAACTTTTTTTTTTTAGCTCGGCTGGTAGAGCATCTGATACTGATTTTGCAAAGTCTGAGGTTTGAATCCTCACGTGAGCTAACCCTAAAGTATGAGGTTTGAATCTTCACGAAGGTCCACCCAAATCTCTTCTTCTGCCCGGCTGGCAGAGCAGATGGTGAAGTTTTAAGGTCTAAGGTTTAAGTCCTTATGGTCAATAACTCAGCCGTGTTTTTTTTCTCAACGACCAAGGCAAGCCCTGAAAGCTTCAGACGCCATTGTTGTGTTCTGTCAATGCTATTTCCATCACCATTAAGTTAAGAAGGAGATATTCCACAACCCGGCTATAGTTCTTTGTATTTCTTTGACTTTGAATGTCAACTGTGCCGAAGAAAAGAGGAAATACAATCCCCGCTTAAATACAGACACAGTCCTTTGGTGGTTATAGCTGTAGTGTGACCTTCAAGAATGTTCTAGAAGTAGCTGTGTCATGCTGAGTCATCCTCGAATCAATATATAAATAGAATCTGTTGTAATGTTATGGAACGTTCTAGATCCTCAACCGTACCTATGAAGGCGAGCTTGTAACTAGATGTAGAGAGTAGTTTAGTTGCTGGTATAGCCCTTCAGATATCAATAAAAGTGTATGCTGCAGAATACAAGACGTCCTCACTTCATGGTGTCAGGAAGGGGATTACAAAATTGAAGATGAATTTCGTCGATCCAAGCGAAGACAGAAGAATTAATCGCGGGCGCTAAAGGAATCCAGCGGGGTTATTGGAGAGACCGGAAGTCTCAACACTGCCACTTGTAAAATTTGAAGTGAATTTCGAGGTTCACACATTGAGGAAGCTGCATTTCTGCGAAAGGCCAGAGCCTAGCATACACCTAGCGATCAAGAAGACCCTCCGGTGCAAGAGAATCCTCCAGAAGCACCTCTGGCGCAACCTATTGTGCCACCTACACAGATGATGAAGTACAGTCAGTTACCAACGCCACCTCCAATGAGTCTCAAGGGGATCCTGGCAGAGAACTGAACTTTTTTCAGAGAGAGTTGGGAGGGCTATAAGATAGCAACTGAACTTGATAAGAAACCCAAGCAAGTCATTTTGGAAACTCTTAAGATAGCCTGGGAAGAGAAACTTACCAAATAACTAAAAATCTGCCTGTAGCTGATCGCACAGATCCTGATAGTTTCTTGCAGGCCTTGACGTAGCATTTTGAACCATAGAGGAATATTATTTTTGAGCGTTCCCTGTTCAACAGTGCCAACCAAGAAAATGAAAACATCGATCAATACCTGAACAGATTGCGAAAGCTAGCGTCAACCTGTGTTTATGGCGCTCTATGTAAGGAACTGATTCGAGACAGACTGGTCATTGGAATCAAAAGCCATGAAGTCAGAAAACGACTACTCCGTGAGAAGGCTGTCACTTTCAATACAGCCTTGGACATAATTAGAGCTGCAGAAACAGCCAGCGATCAACTGAAAAAGACTGATGAAGAAATAGCAACTTCAGTACACTCTGTCAAGTACAAAGGAAAGAAACCACATTTTACACGACGAGTAGAAACGGTGAAACGATGTAAATATTGTGGAACGAACCACAATTTGCACCAGTGTCCGGCTTATGGAAAAAAATGCAGCAAGTGTAACATGAAGAACCATTTTGCTAAAATTTGCAGAAGTCGAGATCAAGAATCTCAAAGGAGAACACAGAAACCTGTGAAGAGCGTTTCCAAGAAACCTACAAGGAGAATTCATCGAATTAAAGAAGTCGAACCAGCAATCGCCGATGATGAAGTTTACTGCATGTATTCAGTCACTGACAGCAGCCGTTCTGAATACATGATTCAACCTCAGCTGAGAAGTGGACAGACAAGTAATTGGATTGAGGTGACCATGTAGATTGATAGCGGATCAGAGGCTAATTGCTTGTTATGTATACCGCTGACCTCTTGAAAGCACAGCATGAAATAAAACACGTGTGTTGCGTAACTCCAACATGGCGGTCGAGTGTTGATATGTTACATGGTGTCAGAATAGTGGGATTTCGAGCGCCGCCGAATGAAACTTAGCACAAAGATATGGCAGAAGGATACGCTAACGCGTCGTAAAACTGGCCAACGATGAATTGGGCCGCCACGGACCTGAGTAAAGAGTGGGAAAGATTTTATCAACAATGCGAATTTGCTTTCGGAGGACCACTCAGCAAGTGCACGGAAAAAGAGAAAATATGCAACCTGATGAGCTTCGTCGGTGACAAGGGCCAAGAGATTTACCTCACTTTCCAGTGGGACACTGTTCAAGTTGGATCGGGGGAAAACAGACATGACATCAGTGAAAAGGGACATACTTGAACGAGTCGCCGAAAAATTCAAGGCACACCTCGAAGCCAAAAAGAACCCAATAATGGCGGCAGTCAAATTCGATCGAAGACGCCAACTGCAAGGGGAAACGTTTGATTCCTTCGTCACTGACCTCAAACTCCTAGCCCGAGGGCTAGACATGACCGAGACAAATAAGTTAATTCGGAACACCATCGCGTGTAAATCACTGGATAAACGAGTACGACAACGTTGCTTGGAAAAAAGCAAAAACCTTACTCTCGAAACAGCCATCAGCATCGGTCGAATGTTCGAGGCCACAAGGGATGGACTGCAAGTGATGTCAGGTGAAGACCAGAGAATTGAAGTTAGTAAAGTTACATGGACGAAGGACTCTTCTAGGCAGCATAAGGCGAGAAACTTCAAGAAACCTAAAGGTAACAATGAGCAGGCTCAGAAATGTGACAGGTGTGGATACAATGCACACAAGCTACAAGAAAAGTGTCCAGCCAAGAATGAATCGTGTAATAAGTGCAGGAAAATTGGACACTTTGCCCAAGTGTGCAGAAGTCGGAAAAGTATTGTTAACGTGTTGAATGAAACAGACCATTCGGGAGATGAATATTCCAGTGATGAGAAAGGTGCTGACAGGGACTTACAACTACTACATGTGGCAAGTTTAGAAATAAACAGGATCAACGACAACCAGAACCCGGGTGAAAAGGACGAATGGTGTGAATTCCTGAAAGTGGGCAATAGCACCCTGTTTTGTGAGCTCGACACGGGTGCCTATGCAAGTGTGATTAACACCACCCAGCTCAGACAAATAGCACCAAATGCCCGTGTTAAGAAAACCAAGAAGACTTTGGTTTCCTATAGCCAACACCAGATCAAACCAAAGGGTTACGTCACCCTTCCAGTGCGATTTAAAGACAAGGAGTTGAATGTAAACTTCTATGTTATAGATAGCAAGCAGAAACAAATACTGTCAGGCAAAGTCTGTCAAGCCCTCGGCTTGGTCCAGCGAGTGCATAAAATAGATGTGAGCCTTAAGGAGTTGTTGAATCAACACCCTGATCTGCAAAATGCATCTGGAGTCATGCCAGGAACCTACTCAATCAAAATTGACCCCACAGCAACGCCAGTAGTACATGGTCCTCGCAGACAACCCGCTGCACTCCTTCCCAAGATCGCGTCCAAGCTCAAAGAAATGGAGAAGGAAGGGCATCTAGCCAAAGTCACACAGCCCACTGATTGGATCAATTCTATGGTGGTTTCAAGTCGAGGTGGCAAGATCAGGATCTGTTTAGACCCAGGAGACCTGAAAAAAGCCGTTAAGCGGGAACATTATCCAATACCTACAGTTGAAGAAATTTCAGCCAAAATACCTGATGCCAAAGTGTTGACGCAAAGAGTGGGTATCTCCAAATGAAACTTGACTACGAGTCCAGCCTACTAACAACTATGAACACTCCTATAGGCCGATACAGATGGTTGAAGCCACCTTTTGGAATCAAATTAGCTCCAGAGATGTATCAAAGGACCATGAATGAAATGTTGGAAGGTATCGATCATGCATATGCCATTGTGGATGACATATTAATAACAGGTCGTAACGTTGCTTATCATGACTCGTTGCTAGAGGCAGTGCTCCAGCGAGCCAAAAGCTACAACCTCAGATTGAATTTTGACAAGGTTAAAGTACGCAAGCCCGAAGTCCAATATGTGGGCCACATTATCTCAGCAGAAGGACTCAAACCTGACCCAGAAAAAGTGAAAGCCATGAAGGATATGCCACCTCCAGAAACAAAAGAGGATGTACGCCGATTCCTGGGATCCATACAATATTTGGCCAAGTTCCTCCCAATGCTTGCATACGTTGAAACCCCGTTGCGGGAGCTCACTAGAAAAGAAGTAATTTTCCACTGGGATAAGCCACAGGCAGATGCATTCCAAAAGCTCAAAGATATGTGCTGTAAAGCCCCTGAGCTAGCCTACTATGATGTCGATAAGGAAGTGACTATACAGTGTGATGCCAGCAAGGAAGCAGTGGGTGCGGTCCTACTTCAAGAAGGAAGGCCAGTAGCTTACGCGTGTCGCAAACTTCGAGAATCTGAAATCAACTGGGCCCCAATTGAGAAAGAAATGCTGGCAATTGTGTTCAGTACACAGAAATTTAGAGTGTACATTCTAGGCAAAACGACTGTGGTTCAGACCGACCATAAGCCCCTAGAGACAATTCTCCGCAAACCAATAGCAACGGCACCATTAAGATTACAAGCAATGATGTTGAAAATAAGCGATTATGACCTAAAAGTGGGGTATCTTCCAGGCAATAAGCAAGTTCTCGCTGATACCCTTAGCCGAGCAAGTCTGAATGAACTACATGCGGACGAAGAAGAGATACAAGTAAACATGCTGTAAAGAATATCCATTTCAGAGCCAAAGTATACAGAACTCCAACAAAAAACTGCAAACGAGTTCCACGAGATGTACGCTATGATTCAAGCAGGGTGTGGCCAGAAACAAAACGACAGGTCCCACACAGTATACGAGAATACTGGGAGTCACGTGATGAACTTGCAGTCTTAGATGATGTAATCTACAGAGGGATGAAGATTGTGATACCCACGTCAATGAGACCAGCCATGCTCGCCTTAATACACGGAACACACCTTGGAATTGTGAAGTGCAAACAGAGGGCCAGAGAAGCGCTTTATTGGCCTGGAATGAGCGCTCAAATAGAAGACAAAGTAAAAGACTGTACCATGTGCCACAACTACGCGCCTGCACAGCAGAAACAGCCCCTGATGCCAAGTCCTGTCTCAGATCTGCCGTGGGCGATGGCTGCTTCAGACATCTTCGCCTTTGAAGGTCATCATTACCTGGTACTGGTTGATTATTACTCCAAGTACATTGAAGTAACTAAACTCAATGACCTTACTTCCCAGGATACCATCGAAGCACTGAGGAGGCAGAGACAGATCCTGAGAAACCACGTTTAGTGCCGCATGCAGTGCCACCACCCATGTCAGACACACGTAGGGAGAAGCTACCATTAGATTACCAGTCACACCAGTCAGTCACAAGGAAAAGCCCAGCAAGAAAGATACCGCCTTCACCTGAAGTAGCAGCGACTAGGGGCTCGACCCTGTACACAACTCGAAGTGGCAGACAAGTCAAGAAGCCAATAAAACTAGACCTATAATTAATTTTCAGAGTTGGCCAAGGCGTTGAAAACGTAGCAATAACAGACACTGTTAATTTTGCAAACACTTTCTGTTTCCGTTCAGTTACCATATATTTTTGTTGTTATTATCAAGAGAGGGAAGGGGGAATGTTATGTATACCGCTGACCTCTTGTAGGCACAGCATGAAATAAAACACGTGTGTTGCGTAACTCCAACATGGCGGTCGAGTGTTGATATGTTACATTGCTTGAGAAAGGAAGATTTTATAAAGATTCAAAACCGACCAGACTTGAAGAAAACTCGTGCCATTTTGAAAGCGTACAATGGAGAAGGTGTGTTTCCCAAAGGTGAAGTCTACCTTGACATCCAGATTGGTGGAAAAATAACCAGAGCAAAATTCTGAGCGATTGATGATGCTCCAAGTTCACTGTTATGAGGAAAAATATGTGAAGAGTTGGAACTCCTGTCTATTAAAAGCGAATTACCTGTCAACTCAGTTTCTGACGTGAAAGGGTTGACCAAGGATGCTATTTCACGAGAACACAACCATGTATTCACTGGGCTAGGAAACATTGGAAATTACAAGATTGAACTGACAGAAGGAGCAGTACCGAAACAAGATGCGCCTAGAATCGTACCCGTCGCACTGAGAGACGATCTCAAGAAGAAACTTTATGAAATGGAGCAGAAAGGCCACATAGCGAAAGTTGATGAACCAACAGACTGGGTGAGCAGTGCAGTATACGTGAAGAAGCGCAATGGCCAACTACGTGTTCGTTTGGATCCCAGAGAATTGAACAAGCATGCCAAAATACCAAAGCTCTGCCTTGCAACCATTGATGATGTGACCTCTAGGCTTGCCAAAGCGCAAGCGTTCACAGTCCTGGACACTAAAGATGGATTTATGCAAATGAAGCTAGATGAGGACTCTAGAAAATTAACAACATTCCACACTCCTTTTGGGAGACGCAAGTGGCTTAGGATAGCTCTGCCTTCCAACCATTGATGATGTGACCTCTAGGCTTGCTAAAGCGCAAGCGTTCACAGTCCTGGACGCTTAAGATGGATTTCTGCAAATGAAGCTAGATGAGGACTCTAGAAAATTAACAACATTCCACACTCCTTTTGGGAGACACAAGTGGCTTAGGATGCCCTTCGGCATATGTAGTGCACCAGAAGAATTTCAGAGACATGTAAATGAGATCATTAAGGGCCTGGAAGGAGTAACTTCTATAGCTGATGACCAGTTAGTAACTGGAGCAGGGAACACCCATGAAGAAGCCTTGGTAGACCTTGACAGAAATCTGATTGCGTTGCTACAGAGATGCAGGGAGCGAAACTTCAAACTGAACAAGGACAAGTTCGTTTTCAAACCACAGAAGTTGAAGCACTGTCATATCTTGACTTCTGAGGGTATTTTACCAGACCCAGCCAAAGTTGAAGCCATCACTCAGATGCCGAGACCACGCGGTAAGACTGAAGTGAGAAGACCACTTGGAATGATAAATTACCTAGGCAAATTTTTTATCTCAGCTGTCCAACGTATCTGAACCTCTCAGGAACCTAACCAAGGAGCAAAACCAATTCATTTGGTCGAAAGTTCACTAAGATGCCTTTAACAAGTTGACTCAGCTGATTTCAGAACCGCCACTACTCCGTTACTACGACTTGGAGGAAGAAGTAACGATTGAGACAGATGCAAGTGACTATGGACTAGGAGCTGTTCTACTTCAAGCCGGCAGACCACTGGCATTTGCTAGTCGCAATATGACTGAGACTGAGAGACGTTACTCTCAGATCGAGAAGGAGTGCCTCGCACTGGTGTTTGGTTGTACACGATTTGACCACTATCTCCATGGAAGAGAAAAGATTACAGCAGTCACAGACCATAAGCCTCTAGAAACCATACTTGCCAAAAGTATCAACAGCGCGCCCAAGAGGTTACAACGCATAATGCTACGACTGCAAAAGTACCGCCTGAACATTGTGTACAAAAAGGGAACTCAGATGTACATAAGTGATCATCTGTCAAGATCTGCCCTCCCAAACGGCCGAACGCAAAAGGAAATAAATTATTATGAAGTCTTTACAATTCACGCAGAAGAACTTCTCATGAAAGAGATCGAAGGAACAGATCCAAATATCTCTCATAACATGACAGATGCAACCCTTCAGAAAGTAGCAACAGCGACCTCAAAAGATGGAAATCTCATGACTTTAGCTGAAATTATAGCTAATGGATGACCTGAGGACAAGACGCAAGTACCGCCCAATGTCCGAGACTATTGGCCGTATAGAGATGAGCCAGCAGTTCAGGATGGAACGATCTACAGAGGAACGAGAGTGCTCATTCCGACGGCTATGCGCCCACAGATGTTAGAAAAAACACACTCCGCTCACCTAGGAGCAGAGGGATGCTGAGACTCGCGAGAGATACATGGTATTGGCCATCGGTTCATCATGATATCAAATATCTCTGCGATAACTGTTCCATATGTCAGAAAGCTAAGCCAGATCAGCCTAGAGAAACCATGCAGAGCCAGCCTATTCCAGAGAGAAGATGGCAAATAGTCAGTACTGATCTTTTCAATGTGAAGAAAGATGTCTAATTGGTAGTTGTGGATAATCTCACAAAATACTGGGACTTAGAGCAACTGAATGATACTGATGTTGAGTCCACAATGTTACAGATGAAGAAGATTTTCGCACGGCAGGGAGTCCCTGAGGTGGTTATATCAGACAATGGTCCTCAATATGCTAGCAAGGAATTTAAGGAGAATCTGACAGATCCTACATAGTGAGGGCCGATGGCCGTGAGTACAGAAGGAATCGGTGTCACATCAGGAAAACTAGAGAAATGACAACGCCCAAAGTCGTTGTCACAGACCCTTATTTAGACTCTCCTGTGTTCCCACCCACACAGTCAGATGCAGCCTTGCAAACTGCTCCACAGCTAAAGTTCATAGAATTACCTGTAGTAAACAATGAAACAGGACAAATGCAGTTGAGTGACATAAAAAATGAGTCAAAATAAGAGCCAGTACCGATTCGACAAGGCGTAAGAATATCACAGAGACAAGTCAAGCCAAACTCAAAGTATAAAGACTTCGTTCTGTTTAAATAACCTTAGAGACATTTAATAGACTGCAATAGGCAATGTGATGTCTAGTGATTTCCTTCATGAATTGTTTCGTCAGTCTTTGTAAAGAAGTGAGGATGTAGTGTGACCTTCAAGAATGTT